TCCCTCTCAAAGGAGCATAGACCGTCGACCAGCATTCTCCACTCAACTCTTTCTCTCCTTTCCAGTCCCCAATTGCCATTCATTCTTTTGATGTCTACTTTCAAGTCCCAACACGGCGTGTTCTTCGGACTTCCTTTTTTTCTTTTTGCTTTCAGGACTTGTCTCGTGATCCGGTTTAATTTGTCCTACCCACCTCCAGAGTCTTTTCCGAATTTCCTCTTTAGCTGGAAGCTGGTTTGTTCTCTTCCACAGTAGGCTGTTGCTGATGGTATCCGGCCAACGGACATTGAGTATTTTGCGTAGAAAATTGTTTAGAAATAATTGTACTGTTTTGATCATGGTTGTAGTAGTTCTGCAAGTTTCATCTCCGTACGTACAGTAGAACTGTCTCGACGTTCGTATTGAAGGTTGATATTGATTGACAATTGTTTTGAGTTCCATGTTCCTCAACTATAAGAATGCAGCCATTGATTTACCAGTCGTTGCCTTTACATATACATCAGATCCTTCTTTTTCATCGATGTTGACCAGGTAGGTAAAAGTTTTCACCTCTTCCAAACTTTTTCCATCAAATGTGATTGATTTAGTGCTCTCTGTGTTGTATTTCAGAATTTTGCTTTTTCTTTGTGTGTGTTGAGGCCTACTGCTTCAGAGGCTGCTGCACTATCTGTCTTGACTTGCATTTGTTCGTGTGTATGGAATAAAAGCTAGGTCATCTACGAAGTCCAAATCGTTTAGCTGCATCCAAACTATCCTTCGTACTCCATGCTTCACTTGATTTGTGGAGGTGTTCATAGTTCATTCGATTCAGAAAAGAAAAGGAATGAGTAAGCAGTCTTTTTTTTCACAGTGGTCTTCACTTGGAATGCATCTATAGGCCATCCTGTATGCTCAACTTCGCAATGTAGTCCGTTGTATGAATTCCGTATGATAATGAAGATCTTTTCAAATACACCATAATGTCGAAGATAGTTCGATTCAGTTGATTGATCAACAATGATCCGTTGTGTCGCGATTTGGTCTGTGCACGACCGATCCTTACGGAATCCGGTCTGTTGACCTCGAAGCTTAACGTATACTGAATCCTTTATCCGGTTTATCTAAACTCTGTTAAAAACTTTTCCTGGTACTGATAGTAGTGTGGTGTCGCTATTTTTCACACGTGCTCAAATTTCTTTTTTTTGGTATCTTGACGAGGTATCCTTTCCGGAACTTGTCCTTCCTCCTAAATCTTACTGAATAAAACGTGGAACACCTTTGCAGTTACTTTGTGTCTGACTTCAATACTTCAGCTGGTATATTATCAGGTCATGCTGCTTTCCCACTGTTGATTTGTCTGATGGTCATCCTGACTTCCTGGATCGATGGTGGAGCGACATCTATAGGTAGTTCTGCATGTACTGCTTCGTTATCCGGTGGATTCAATCTAGCTCAAAGTATTCTACCCATCTGTTCTTGAATTTTAGTGACTGGTTTGCCTTGTTTATCCTTGGTCGTTTTCTCTGGTTTACTATATTTCTCTACCTGTTTCTTCGTCGTGTCATATAGTTGTTTCACATTTCCTTCTGTTGTAGCTTTTTCCGCTGTCTTCCACGTATTTCTGCTTGTCTGCCCTAATGCTCCTCTTTGCTCTATTGTTTGCTTCAGTGTATTCAGCTTGTGCCTTGATTTTCTCTATTCTTGTTCGGTTGATGTTAATTGCTGCCTTGTTCTTCCTTTCATAAATCTTGTCCAGGGTTTAGATAGAGATCCATCTCTTATGATGATGCTTCTTGTCACTCAGCTCTTCTTGGCACGTTGAAGTTCGTGCTTCAATCCTTTTCCATTTGTTCTCCAAAGTAGTTTCCTCTTCTTTGGAATCTGTTGTTGAGAACTATCTCTAATTTGTCGTTTGTCAGTATACTCAAGGAAGGCTGCATTGAACCTTTGTAATGCTATTTGTCCAGTTGTCCAATATTTCTTTAGCTTCAGTTTCATGTTGGTCACAACCAGGTGGTGATCTTAAGCTGTGTCAGCTACTCTATTTGTCCTCACGTCCTTCATAGATCTTCCGAAACATTTACTGATGCAAATATAAGCTATCTGCTCCGTGGTATGATCCAGTGAGACCCATGTAGCTTAGTGTATGCGTTTGTGTGGGAATATTTTGCCTCTTATAAACAAATTGCTGAATGCACAAAGATTTTCAAGTCTCTCCTTATTTTCGTTCCTTTCTCCCAGTCCATGTTGTCCCATGATATCTTTATATTCAGTGTTGTCCATTCCGACTTTGGGTCTCCAATCTGGATAGTCAGGTCCTCTCCTAGACACGTATTTAAGACTGACTGCAGTCTCATAAAACCGATCTTTACCGTCTTCGCTTTCATTGGTGAATGCGTAGCACTGGATAGCATTGATTGTAAGCCCCTTCTTTGTTTTGATGGATGGTTTGATGATTTTGGATTTATAAGGTTTTCGTCTTATAAGTACTTTACGTGCATCTATGGACGGCATCAATGCGACATTTTGTATCACGAAGGCGCCAAAGGTGGCCCAGATTGGCATAAGTTTCTTTGGCTTTCAGCATACATGAATTAATCTCATCAGTCACGCCACCAGCAACACTTACATGGCTACCCAGAAACACGAACTTCTCGATTACTTCTAACTGCTTACTACCAACAGTAGGTATAGCCCCAAGATTCTGTTAGTTTTGTAAAAATACTTTTCACTTGGAAGATGCAAATTACGTTCCATTGCTACGGACACTGATTTCAATCTGACTGTGGCGCATATATATTTGGTGCCCCCCTGTACCAATATTTATGTGTTAAAATAAATAAAAATCAATCTGACTGCGTGCGGATCGCGTGGCTTGGGTATCATCGCACAATTAGACAATATCATCCGCATGCTGAAAGTCGAAACATTTTCCTCTAGGTAACAGATCCATACCACCATTCCCCACTCCCGCCGGAACTGTTTCCTAAACGTCACCGATGGCAAAGTTGAAAAGGAATGATGAGATTAGGGAACCCTGCATAGCCCCACTTCAGTTTATTTATTTATTTGAACACATAAATACTGGTACAAGGGGGCACCAGATACATATGCGCCACACAACTCTTACTTGATTTATGTGAGGGCTGTGATACTGCCCGGGTGCCCAAACCGAAGCAGGTGGTTTTCTTAAGGGGCCACACCCGGAACCTTCGATCTAAAGGTCTGATCCACAAGGCAGTGAAGCATCGAAAATAGATGCAGTCCCATTGTAGCTGGTGACCAACGATTGGTCCATACGCCATTTGTTCCCTCAGGATACTGGAGCCCATGAGCACCATTGGTTTGGAATCAGGGTTTTCCAACTCCCCTGGGTGGACTCACTGTGTCCACCAACCCGGGTAAAGCATCACACATTCGCTTTCCGTCCTCTCAATTTTGTAAACAGCACCCCCGCCACGAGAAGACAGTGAGTAGGACTTCGTTGGCAGAGGCTTTATATGCGTGGTCATGTGAGAGCACTTCAAGAGGGAGAGCAAACTTTACCCACTCTCGGCCGTACCAGGGCATTTGGGGGCACTGGAGGGAGGTGTCTGTTTGTTCTCACTCTGATGTGTTTGTACATAGGTCCTTAGAGATGTTAATAAACTTCTTCGGCACATATTTCTTCAACAGTCAACCCTAGAGGTCAGTCTTGTCCAGTCGATTAATGTCGCCACTGCCGTGGCGCTTAATGCGATACCGACGCCAGCAAAACCGAAAATCCCATAGGGCACCCGGGTAGACGCATGTACAACAAACTTTACGAACCTAGAGAGAGCATATTCTCTTCATCCTCTTCCGTACCAGGACATTTGTGGGTCTTTTATGATATTAAGTATCTGGAGTTTATTTGAATAAGTCGAACATGTTTTCATGTTTTGTGACCACTATATGCAAAAATAATGTGTCCATCTCAGTGAACGTGATCGAATTCATAACTAATGAGACGATGAAGAAGAAGGATCGATTTTGAATCGCTTCGCGTAACATAAACAAGACTTCCTAATCATTATTAGTCATATTTAAGCTAGTAATATCTTAAAGTTTCGGTTCAGACTAGAGTTTCGACAAATTAATCATGATTCCAAACCGAAGGAAATCCTTAACCTACCAAGAGTGTAATTAAATCCCATAATTATTCACATTTTATAATAGTGTCGGCCTTTTTATTTGCTTTTCTAGAGTTATCTTGTATGAAAACGGACTGTAACTTTATCCTCCTTAATTGAGCATGAGTACAAACAATAATCATGCACATCTTATTTCCTTATTGGTGAGCTTTCGTATTTCGTCTTATCTTATTTAGGCAGGCTCAACTGCTGGACTTTCTGTTGATCTTGCACTTTTCCCAATCGATACAATCAAAACTCGTTTGCAAAGTTACCACAACAATGTTCAAAGGACTCCTGGTTCCCTCCGTCTTTTCGCCGGTTTCCCGGCAGTTGCTATAGGTTCTGCGCCTGCAGGTAGCTTGGACTTTGAGTAGCTTTCTGTAAACTTTATGTAGCCGCAGTGTTTTTCTTAACTTATGAGGCAGTTAAAGATGCATGTAGGGATCTCGGTATGCATCCGACAAGTCATTCAGTCCTATCTGCTTGTATTGCAGAAGTTGTAAGATTTTAATTTTAATTTTCAGTATCTAGGTTGCTTGTATTATAAGAGTACCCTGTGAAGTGGTGAAACAGAGAACGCAAAATCAGCCTGCTCATGGCGTTTCAACTGTGTTTCTACAGACTTTGCGTAATGAGGTTAGTTATTGGATATTTTGGTTATTTCAACCTACTCGTAGTTCATATTATTAAAATTAGTTACATGCTTATTACCCATAGTTTTCTACCCGATTGTATCCGGTATTTGTTGTACTCAACTTTCTGACCATGGACTAAGTTGTTTTTGCTCATTATGCTTTTTGTCGACTTATCATCTAAAATCATTTCACAAACTGAAAACATAAATTCAGTTTGTACTGTATTTGCTAGATTATATTTAAGGTTCCATTAAAATCACGAACCGATCTAAGTTAGACCGCCATTGAAAACCTGGAAGCACTAGACGGCTGTTTCTTCCTATTGTGGGACTCCTCAGCAGTCCTCATCCACGATTTTGAGAACACTTAACTTATAGACAGTTGAGCCGGTATATTCAAAGCTGTACACTGTGGATGAATTTGCTGTTATTCCACCGAATATTATGGAAACTAATCTGCTGTAAAATAGATAACAATGATTACTTAACAAATATAGAAATAATAGACCGCATTGACACCTGTGTTTCATAGACCAACACGAGTTAGGTCAGTTGGTAAATTTCCTTGTGTGAGTTAATTTAAGTAAATTCCTTGACTTTTATTTGGTAGATGAAAATTGTCGTGTAGTGGTCTTCTTACACATACTTCTATGTTCTGAAATTTTTCAATTGTTCGTTTGTATGTTTACGATTCTTACGAAAACTGATTTCAGCTGATTCTGTGGTAGTTCTTCATTTGATTTATAACTCCATAAAATGTTGGTTCTCGAACATATGTTTTCAATTATTTATTTATTTATTTGAACACATAAATATTGGTACAAGAGGGCACCAAATATATATGCGCCACACAAAACAATGAGAATTTAAAGAGAAGGAAAAAAAAGTAAGGAACGTAGGGAATTATAAAAAAAAAGAACAAAAATGGGGGAAACGAAAAGGTACAATCAGAAGAAATCTTACAGTTAAGGAAGAAGCAACCACTCTTCACGAAGAAATTAAAAGAAGGTTACAGCAGGATCGCCACTGGCTTTTATTCTGAGCCATATCTGATAACGTCGCTAGCCACTGCGTTACACCATCTCTCGGACCCTAGCCAGGGAGTCGTGAAGGACCAACACAAGCCAGCCCTTTGCAGCTTTCTTTCATACGACGACACCATGTCATATGCTGACCACCTCTCCGCTCTTTTCAACCAGTCCCAGAGTCGGCAAATAATGCACGACGTATAATTCTCTGGGACGACATTCGTAGAACATGTCCAAGCCACCGAAGTCGGTGTTCCAAGATGGTGACACCAATTGCATTATCGTCTCCGTGCCCGAACACACGATGCCGAACCTCTGCATTACTAACATGGTGTTGCCACGGGATGTCAGCAATCCTTCGGAGACAACGATGATCGAACACAGAGAGTCGTCTAACATCCTCAACTCGGAGAGGCCAGGTTTCACAAGCATAGAGCAAAACTGCTCTCACTGACGCGTTGTGGATCCGACATTTTACAGCCAGACTGACATTACGAAGGCGCCAAAGGTGGCCCAGATTGGCATGAGCCTCTATGGCTTTCACTATACGCGCATTGATCTCATCACTCACGCCACCACCAGTACTTATGCAGCTACCCAGATACACGAACTTCTCGACTACTTCTATCTGCTCGCCATCCAGGGTGAGTACAGGATTAGAATCCTGCCAGTCTTGTAGAAGTACTTTGCACTTCGAAGGTGCAAAGCACATACCATATCTACAGACATTGATTGCCAACTGATTAAGTGCGGATTGCATAGCTTGGGCATTCTCGCACAGTAAGACAATATCATTCGCATACTCAAGGTTGAGAAGTCTTTCTCCAGGCAACAGATCCACACCGCCATTACTTACATCCATCAGAGCTGTTTCCAGAATGTCATCGATGGCAAAGTTGAAGAGGAGTGGTGTTATTGTTCAACCCTGCCTAACTCCACTGCTTGAATGGAACAATGGAGAGATGTGGTTGTATGCCCTCACTCTGCCTGAGGTGTTTGTGTATAGGGCCTTTAAGATGTTAATAAACTTCTCAGGCACACTCTTCTTCAACAGGCAATCCCAGAGAACAGTCCTATCCAACGAATCGAAGGCAGCCCTGATGTCAAGAAACACTACGATTGCTGGCCTTTGATAAGTATGACGGTGTCCTAACATTTGGCGGAGGGTGAAGATACGATCAATACATCCTGGACCAGAGCGAGTCAAGCCTCGTGTTTTGAACAACCTACGAAGTAGAACGGAAGCCAATAGCTTGGACGCAATCGGAAGTAGACTTATAGCCCGGTTGTTGTTACAGGAACGACGTGAACCCTTTTTAAAGATAGCAACAACTATCGACTCATTCCATGACGTTGGTACAACCTCTAGTTCCCAGACCTTTGTAAACAACGTCGTCAGTTCTTTAGCCAGAAAGTCACCACCATCTTTAAAAAGAGCCGGAGGTAAGTCGTCTGGGCCCGGTGATTTGTAACGTTTCAAGAGTTGGAGTTCCTTGCGGACTACTGCCTCATTTGGTGGATCAGTCGTCACCGGCCATGGAGGGCAGGACAGTCTGACCGATGTTGCCGGAGCAGCAGGCCAGTTGAACTGAACTGCCCTTCGAAAGAGTCTGCCCATCGTCCAAGACGTCGATGGATTTTAGTGATAGGCGTTCCGCCATTCTCACCCACACTATACTTCTTGCTGCCAATGGCTCGGATGAGTTGGAAGAGCTTCCGGTAATTACCAGATGCAGCTGCTGCTTCCAGCTCGTTAGCACGCTCTGACCACCAGGCTTCTCGGTCCTTACGCAAGCTTTGCCCGATTTCATTACGTAACATCCTTCGTCTGTGGTCAAACTCACGGTCACCCGGAGTTGTAAGGAATCAGAGGAAACCTAGTGCTTATAAGCGGGACGTTTCGCGAACCCACAAGTGACTTTACTCGCCATTTTCATGGCGTCATGCAATTGCAACCAATGCTCATCTATACTTTTCGTTGGAATGGTAGCTAGCGTAGAAGCTAGCTCGGTTCGATACTTACTAGCAACAGAAGTTGCAGCCAGCTTGCTAACATCAATCCTTTGGTGGCGGTCACTTCGTTGTCCACTGAAAAGTAAGTTAAGATTGGCACAGACCAGGGCATGATCAGATTCTAGATAGGTACTCCAAAAGGAGCGGCAGTCCTGTATACAATCACGCCAGCGGTAGCTGATCGCGATGTGATCAATCTGAGTCCAGGCTTGAGATACAGAGGAGGACTCCAGGTGGCACATCGGCGATGACTGTGCCGAAAGTTAGTGCTAGCCAGAAACAGGTTGTGGTCTGTGCATATTTGCAGTAGACGTTCCCCGTTATCTGTCCTGCGACCAACAAGTCCCCATCGGCCACCTAAACGACTCTCTTCTGTGCCTAGACGCCCGACCTAAGCATTCAAGTCTCCAGCTAGTACTACAATATCTGTCGGATGCACTTTCTGGAGAACAGATAACTGGTGGTAGAATTCATCCTTGATTGCATCCGGGCTGCAATCTGTCGGAGCACATGTGATGACGAAAAGACATCGTTTCTCACTCCGATTTCTTCTCACTTTGATGGAACTTTCTAATCTAACAGCACATAACCGACTGTTGATGGGGATCCAATCGATTAGTGCTGCCTCAGCTCTAGCGCTTAGTGCGACACCAACGCCAGCAAGACCAGACGAAGATGCCACAGGGTCCCCGGATAAACGCACATAAAACAAGCTTTTTGAAATGACAAATGGAGAGCGAACTTGTAGTACTTCACCAGAGTCTTGAATACGGGTCTCGGATAGACAACACACATCAATACTAAGACTTTCCAAAGACATAGCCAGCCCTATCTGTTGTCCGACCTGCATAAGTGTGCGAACGTTAAATGCAGCCAGTTTGAAATATGTTTTCAATAATACTTAACAGAGAATACAAGCTTTTTCAGATCCTGAGTCATAGATTTTTATATTTCTTTCGTAAGATCATTTATTAGTAGACCCTTACTTTCAGCTCATCAAGTGAGCACTTGACCTAATCATCCAGTGGCAATAAACACTACATTATCTTATATCGCAAAACATTTAAGGTACCATTAGTACACATATCAGCGTTCAAACACTGAATCTATATGTACTTTTACAGTAGATCGTAAAGGAAAATGAATTTTTCGCGAAACTGAAACAATGTTTGTGTATAAATCTTGGACGTCTGTTTAAAGGACTATATATAGACTTGACATCGTTTTATTTTCATGTTTAGCCTCCATTGCAAACGAATTGCTCGTTTTTCATTGAATTTCAACTAAATATTGAAGTGATTTTACATAACATTTTTAATATTTCCCAGGGAATTCGTGGATTTTACAGAGGATATGTCAGCACATTATCACGAGAAATCCCATTTTCACTCATTCAATATCCCATATGGGAAAAATTAAGGGTAAGTATGTCTTTACAGAGGACCACTTTGTTCATCCTAGTGTTTTTCATGCCAGTCTCATCGAATACATTGTTATGACTATTAACTCTACGACCAACAATTGATCCGTGAATTTAAACAATTGTCTGTTCACCGTAGTTCTGGAAGGTTGCTGGTATCGTTATCTCTTACTTTATAGGTGTAGCCCATACTGTTGTGAACGAGGACACAGATGGAGATAACGAATGTATGTTGATACAAAATTACAGAGTATCTTGGTAAAATATAAGTACCACACACAGAATACTTCATTTGCAAATATCCCATCAATTGTTCTTTACATTCTGTATGATCCAATTCACAATTCCTTCTTATTTCCCTTTCTGTTTTCTTCAATTCTATCTTCTTAGCATTCTGCTACCATGCATTTCACTTCTGATTGGTGTTACATACTACTTATGTTTGTTGACATAAGTAGCGTACATCACAATACCATGATTCATAAACTGATAGCCACATATATAAATAGTTAATTATGGCAGTGAGTGGTTTTTATGTTCATATTACGGTCTCGTAGTACTTGAACAATAATAATTGAATTTCAATGCATTAACTACTTTGTTTACATGCGTTTTAAGGAAGTTAGCGGTCAAACGGTTTTTTTTTGTATGTTAATCTAGCACACCCTTTGTATCTAAATGTCTCCTACAATAGAATGCTTGCTAAAGTATTGAAATTTCTTTCATCCTCATGTTAGTAATTATAAATCTTCCCGTTCCGAAGTTATGACAAAAATCGAGCTAATAATCAACCTTATATATATATATATATATATATATATATATATATATA